GAGCAGGCATTATTTTTAAAAGCTAATAAAATTTGGAGACCTGTTCATGGACCGCGGAGGTGATGACCACTATCGTGGCTATCATCCTGTCCTCTGCTGGGCACACACAGTGACCTTGCGGGTCGAGGGAGAAGGGAGCCACTGGGGTGGAGCGTCAGGCCGACCCTGAAGGACCTTCTGGCTTGGGCCTCTCTTGCATTGTGAAGAAGAGGGCAGGAAAGCGTCCCCGTTCTCTCCCTGCCCTCCTCGGTCATCCCGCGGAATGTGGGCGCTCAAGGGGAGACCCTCTCCGAGACTAAGACCCTGCCATCCCGGTTCTCACCATAAGAGGGCGCCTAAGAGCAAGAAAGGCGAGAGCCTGGGAAAAGAGCTCCCTGGTTGAGGTTCGGTCCTTCTGCCCCGGCCACTCTGCCGGCAGGTCAGTGTCTCCATCTGAAACCGCCCTGGCTTTGATGTTTGTCGTCCTACCGGAGGTGATGATGGGCTGTTAACTCCAGGAGGAAAACTGCTGGACAGAGCTCGACCAGAGAGGTTCCCAAAAGAAACCAAGCCATGGGCCCAATAAAACTGGGCAGGAGGGTGATGAATAGTGATTATTTCTATGTGAATTCATGTGGGCGAGAGAGGGCGCCGGGAGACGGCAAGGTTGTGCAGGACGGTCAGGGTCGTCGCACCTGTCCCATTACCCTCGCCTGAAGTGCAGGGGTAGACGCTGAGATTCTTTAAGAAGAGAACGCTGAGCATTGTGGGTATGGGGGAGTGATTTTGGGAGAAGAGGAAGGGTCTCTTTATCAGTTAGCGAGTGGGTACAGGGGAGAGTTCCAGTCTGCAGCGGTGAGTTTATGCTCCAAGCTGCCCTGCTTCCCAGACTGAGCCAGCCCTATCCTATCAACTCTCCCTATTGGCTACTGAGAAGATTGCAGGGTGTGGGGGTCACTGAGGGCCATCCCTCGCTTTACTGAGCTCTCATCCAGCTAGGACCCTGCCCAGGAGAGCTGCTCTGTACACAGGGAGGAATAGAGGTCCTGAGAAAGATGCTAGGACTTGTGCACGGCTTCCCCTACCAGGACTGGCCAGGGCGGCATGGGAACTTTCTTTTGCAAAGTGGCTCAGGGGTGATATACAATATTTTAAAGCAGTCACGGAAGTGTAGGATGGATAAGGCGGATAAGGTGGTGCTTATTCCAAGTGTCAAATAAGGTAATGCTATATCCATAAACAACTACAAATACTATTTGGCTCACAGGACGAGGAATTATGAGATGCTCTAGAGCAGTTGCTCTCAACGTGTGGTCGTCAGGGCAACACGCACGTCACCTGGGAACTTGTAATAAACGCATATTCAGCCGGCGGACATGGCAGTTGCGTAGGCAGCATCAGAATCCCAGGATTCTGAGAGGCTGAGGCAGGAGGATCACAAGTTCAAGCTCAACCCTGGACCCTATCTCAAATAATAAAAAAGGTTTGAGGTTCAATCTTCAGTACTGAAAAAAAAAAAAAAAAAAACCAAAACTGCAAATTCCTGGGTTCCAGGCCAGAGCTGCTACATCAGCAATTTGGCCAAGGGGAGCCTCGCGATCTGTTGCAAGTTCAAGTTTGAGAAGCCCCGCCCTAGTGAAGTCTATCTAGAATACGCCCATTCAGGCGAGAGTCAGCCGGTTCCTTGTTAATGCTTTCAATCACCTGTGTGTGAGTTCGAGAGAGTTTGCACGTGAGTGTGTGCTAGTGTGTGAGGATGTGTGAACGGCAGGTGTGCAAACTATCGAGAGCATAGGAACACATGTGGATGTGTACCCTTGTGGGATCAGGACAGGGGGCTGCTGCTCGATCTAGGAGGATTGGTTCTACACTCTACAAATCACGCGTGCAGATGCCTTAGGGTTACACACCCTCAAAGCTTTGCTTCCGGTCCGAGTGCTTAATGTCCTTGGCTAAAAACTTATGATCTATATTAAATTCATTAAATTCCCAACATATTTTTCCTTACAAGAGAAATGGAAGCATGAATATTTGCCTGTGCGATTCAGTACTGGCAGAAGGTGGCGCTGCAGAGACAGACTACATCGCAGCGTTTTGACCCAGCGGCTCCAAAAGTGGAAAGGGAAGTGGGCAGCGGTGAGGGTGCAGAGAAGCGCCTTCCCCTTCCCTTGGGCGTATGAGGCTGCGTGCCATCGACCCTTTTCCTAGCCCTGGAAGCCGAGGAGTCTCTGGGTATCTCCACCACCCAGTTAGCCTTGCCCTATTGGAGTTACAGATGCATCGGAGCATCAGAGCCACAGTCCGCGGGTCTCTTTCCTAGTCCTGCCCCATCCTGCAGCCTGCACAGGGACTGCCATCCACTCTGCCCTGGCTCAGCCTTGCCCAGGAGTGTAGGAGCAGGCAGCGCTGGCACGGTGTGTTTTCTCCGGCTTATTAGCATTGCTAATGAGGCGGAGCTATTACTGGCTGTTCCCCTGGGAATAATACCTTTTTCTGATCTGATCCTTAAGTCAACCCTATTAATCTTAATATATGAGGGAATTGGGATTTACAGTCCCAGAGAGACGGTTGCAGACCTGTGGGGCTGTGAGAACAGACTTCTGGGCTTCAGCCCAGTTTCTGACTCTGCAGTCTGAGGTGGAGCCCACAAAATTATTTCCAACAAGTTTCCAGGTAGAGCTGAAGCTGTTGTCTAGGATTAGCTGGGAGCGAGTAGAAAAGAGTGGACAGACCTGGTTTCACCACTGGAAGTCCTCATTATGTATCTCAAAACAGAGGAGAACTTGGAGAAATGATACTGTCTCAAGGGATGGAAATACTATCCCAATTTGATTATTTCCCAATGTACACATATGCTGAATTGTAATACTCTATCCCACAAATAAGCACAAATATGTCAACTTTTTTTTTTCTTGGTACCAGGGATGGAACTGTCAACTTTTTTAAAAGTGCCAATCAAATGTTCCTCATAGAACAGAATTATCTTTTTCTATGAATTGTTTTTAATTTTCGTACCTGGCACAGAACTCAACCTTGTGCTTGCCTGGTAGGTGCTTGTGCTGCTGAGCTAAACCTCCAGCCCTGTCTTGGTTTTTGTTTTTTTTTTTTGTCTTTTTCGTTTTTATGGGTACTAGGGATCGTACTCACGACTGCCTGCTTGCAAGGCAGGCGCTTATGCCGCTGAGCTAAATCCCCAGCCCCTGCTGTCTTGGTTTTTTGAGACAAGATTTCCCTAGGCAGTTCAGACTGAACTTGAACTCACTTTGTAGCCCAGGCTGGCCTCGAACTCCTGACAACCCTGCTGCCTCAGCTCTCAAGCGCTGGGATTATAAGCATGTGCCATCTTGTCTTTTAAAATCGTTATTATTGTAGCAATTTGACTTTCAAAACCAAATCCTGCTCTTTGTCATAACAGAGGTGTTTAAAATGAGAAAACACATTCAAGAAGTCGGACTGCTTAGACCCTGATTTCAGGGTGCATACTCTTCACTGCTGAGGCAGGCTTCCTTGAGGAGTGTCTGTTACACAATAAATGAGCCTGTGAACTTGGAATCTAAATGGGCCTGAATTTAAAATCTGTGCTTTAGTAGTGGTGGTTTGTTTTCTTTGAGATAGGGTTGGCCTTGAATTCACTGTGTAGCTCAGCTTAGCCTGGAACTCAGTGATCCTCTTGCCTCAGCCTCCTGAGTGCTGGTTAATAAGCATGCACCACCACACCCCAACTTCAAAGTGTGGTTTCTTTAACAGAGTGGGCTCAGCCCGTATCTAGTCAGGCAAACATTCATTCATTCACCTCATTAATTTATTCTTTCTTCCTCTGAGTAAACATACCCTGAGTGCCCGCTATGGCCGGGGTGTTCAGTAAGAGTGTTATCTCTGCTGGGCTCCTGGAGCCAGGGGTTAATAAATGTGTCCAGTAGAGCCCAGCAGAAGGATGCAGTGTGAGTGTGGGAGAGGCGTGGGGAGGTGCAATGTGACCAGATTATGATCCAGTGCCCAATGGGCACAGAGTGGAGGGGAGGAAATGGCTCAGTATGAAGGTGACCTCTCAGCTCGGGGATGAACCAAAGGGGAACTGGGGGAGGTGAGTACTGCAGGAGAGGGAACAGTAATGCAAAGGCTCAGAGGTGCTCGGCTGGGAGGTCCTTGCAGAGATTGGGTGGAGAGAGAGAGAAGAGTAAGCAGGAAGGTCTACAGGAACCATCACAGAGCTGTAAGCAAAAGCAGTGTGACTGTGGGGTGGAGAGAAGATGGGACAGCACAGGCAGGGACTCCAGTGCCAGTGTCCTATTGAGGGGACCTGGGTCCTGGCAGAGTGGGGGCTAGGGAAAGGGATGGAGGTGGCACTCAAGTTTCCAGTCTGCTCCTTGGGGATGAAGCAGGCTGCCGAAGGACAGCAGTGATCCTGCATCTCTGCAGGATCCTCCATAGTCTCCCATCTCCAGACTCAAAGGACTGCCAATGCCTGTGGGCTCCTGCAGTTCCCAGGAGATGCTAGATAGTCTTCAGGTCAGTTTCCTTCCATGGTCCCACTCCACTCCCACCCACGGGGCTGGTTCTGACACTGAGAGGGTCCAGAGCCCTTTGGAAACCCTCAAGCCCTGGAGAGACATGAGCTGGCAGTGACCAGCCACCATCACCTTCCCTGTAGGCTTGGGAAGGGAAAGGAAGTGAGTCCAAGGTGGGGAGAGCCCCGCCTCTGGGGCCACCAGGCACCTCCATTCCTCTACTGAAGATGCAGGGCACCATGGGCCAACTACCAACTCCTCAGTGTCACACTAGTGGGATGCCAGAGCCAGGGCCCAGTGGCCTCCAGGAGGAGTTTGCCCTCCCAAAAGCCCCAGAAGGGGTGCCTGGAGACACAGGTAGAGGAGGACAGTATGGAAACAGGTGATGGAAGGGAGAAAGAATAGGGCAGGCCCTGGCCACCCAGGGGTGGGACGGTTGAGAAGAAATCCTCTAGAGGGAAGGGGAGCCCTGGGGGTGGGCTTGAGACCTGGGAAGAGCAAAAGGAGTCTTACCTTGACCTGGTCCAGCACCACCAGGGGCCCATTGACACTGCACACGGTCCTGTAGGCTTGGGAAGGGAAAGAAGGAGGTGAGGGTCACCCCACCACACCCTCACCTATGAAAGTTTTGCTCCAGGATGGTCACGCGCTCACACACACACACACACACACACACACACACACACACGCATGCACAGAGGCATCCTTTCTCTGCCTGCCCTCCCTCTCCAGCCCGGGCCATCAGGGTCATTAGCTATGACAGGGCCAGCCACCATTGCTGTAAGGGTCATGCCCCTGCCCACAGGGCCCCTGCTGCCTCGGACACCTGCAGGAGGCTGGGGGAGGGCTGGCGACCCAAGAGGCCTCTGAATTCTCCCCAGCTGGCGGAAGCTCTGCTCTTTCCCTCTGGCCTCAACCCCCACCTCAAACCCCCAGGACATTTTCCAAAGGCCTTTGGCCTCCAGCTGTGGCCCTCCCCAGACCCACATTTCCCTCTAGTCACCCCACACTGACTGAGCACTGTGGGAGGGAAAGGGGGCTTGCTTCTTTGGTTGAGAGAAACCAAACAGGGCCTCTGCTCTCACCACCAGGCCCAGGCAAGGTCCTGCGGCCAGCTCCTGGGCTCCCCTGGCTTCCCAGGACCTCTGAGGGGAAGGGAGTAGACAGGGAAACACATTCATGGATCTAGCGGCTGGAGAGACTCACAGATGGGAAACCAGTTCAGTTCACCAGGTGGGATTAGGCTGGACATGAGGAAACCTTTGCTGGCTCCAACAGAAGCAGCTATGGACGGGTGGCCAGGAAGCCTGAGTCTGGCTCTGACAGAGGCTGGCTGAGGGACCTGGGAGGTCCCTTGCCCGTGGCAATGAGGTACCATAGCCTTCTCTTGGTATCTTGTCTGATACCAAGCCACACCTGAGACGAAGGAACTTGGCAAGGCAAGATGGGCAGTCCTAGGTCACTCAGGCTGGCAGGGAGACATGTCCCAGAGCGGGAAAAGCTTACCCAGGGCCACGCAGATGTTCGTGGCAGAGCCAGGGCTGGGCCCTGCCTTGCATTTCTCATGAGACCACCCTGGCTTCTGGTGTGGCCTTTTTCTTGCTTCTGATCATGCCTGGTCCCAAGCCAGCCGATGCCAAAGAGCAACCAAAAGCTCCAGACCAAGCTCCCCACTCCCAGTCTGGGCTTCTGTGGTCAAACCCCTTATTTTTGTCTGATCTAAGTTCCTTTCGCCAGGATGGGCTCAGGCAGACCAACCTGGCAAGACATGCTTACACAGATCTTTACGTGTCCCCTGAATATAAGGACTGTTTGAAACACTCGGCCTTCAGAGGAGCATGCGAAGATCAGCTCAGCTCTGCTAGCCTTTGGGGCTTTCTCAGCTCCCTGCCCTCAGCTTACCTACAGCCCCCCTTTACCCAGCTGCCCTATCCCATGAAGGAGATCCCTCCCACCTTCTGTCTTAGGCATGTGTCTGCCCCTGCACCCAGACCTGGGCTCTAGAGGTGACTCCTCCTGGGGTGAGGAGCCAGGGCCCCCACTCCTGTGTTCTTTCCATCAAGCAAGCTCTGGTATCTCCCATCTAGGAGAACACTCCTCAAGCCCCAGTCCTTTTCCGGGTCTGCTCTTTGGAGCACGGTCTCCATGGATTCTCTTCCCTTCCCCACAGCCACCCGCTCCTCCTGCCTCTCTGCTCCGTCTTCTCTGGAGGCCACCCCAAGCCTGTGGACTGCTACCTCCAGGTGACCCCGTGCATCCCAGTGGAGGCAGGGTGCTCTCTTCTCCTGGGGAGGTCTGCCCTGCCCTGCCCGCTTGCCCCACCTCCTGGTTGCCCCACAGGCTCCTGGGAAGGCAGCTTGGCTCCTTCTCTTCCCTGCTTTCTCTGAGTCATTCACTTCCCTCCTTTCCTCTCCGTTTCCTTTCTTCAAGCATCTTCCTCCCCGTAACGGGGACTGAATCCAGGGCCTTGCACATGCTGGGCAACCCCTCTACCACTGAGCTATAACTTTGGAACTTTTATTATTTTATTTTGAGGCAGGGTCTCGGTATGTTGCTCTGCCCTCAAACTTGTGATCCTCCTGCCTCAGCCTTCTAACAGGTGGATTGCAGGCAAGAGCTGTCACATTTGCCATATGTATTGGAGGCTTTCTACGTTTTAGGCTGGGAGAAAAAAGGCAAATAAAACATGGAGCCTACAATCTAAAATAAGGGTCAGGGAAGAAACAGAATTACAAATTGTAGTGGGTGCTGAGAAGGGAAAGAACAGGGTGAGTGTGTGAGGGGGGCCAGAGGCCCGGCCGAGTGCTCAGGGAGGGGAACAGCTTGGGGAGGTCTGCTTCATCCCTCCTCCCCTCTTCCCTCCTCCTTCCTTCTCTTTTTTCCTTGCCTCCTTCCTTGCTTTCTTTCTTCTGTCTCTCTTTTTTCCTTTTTCTTACTCTCCTCACTGTACTGGGGATTGAACCCAGGGCCTGCACACTGGGTTATCTTCCCAGCCCCTTTGGTATTATTATTTTTTTAAAATTTCAGGCAAAGTCTTGCTAAGTCACTAAGTTGCCATTCTGGGCTCAGACTTGTGATTCTCCTGCCTCAGCCTCCCAGGGTGCTAGTATAACAGGTCTGTGCCACAGCGTCTGGCTGGGAAGGGCCTTTTGAGCTGAGCCCTGAGCACCAAGTGGTACTCTTCAGATCCCATGGGGGCCACTGGTAGCTGTGTGGTGAGTTGTTCACAGATGAGAATGAGCCCCTTCCTGGGTGCCTTGGGAGAACAGGGAGGGGTGGTGCAGTGGCCAGCAGAGGCTGGCGTCTGGGCACAGGAGGCAGGTCGGCTCCGGGGACGGCAGGCAGCAGACTCCACAGCCAGCCCAGGGCACACACTCGGCAAGGATTTAGTGGATGAATTACGGAGACATCACTGGTTCCTCCAGCTCATTCCCGCATCCCATGTCAGAACCAGAGTGTGCCCCCCACTTGCCCAGCCCCCCGACCAAAGACCAAAAGAGGGTCCTGCTGCTGGCTTGAGGCCTCCCACTCCTCACTCCTGCCTGCTTCCCCTGAAGATGGTGGACAAGAAAGAGGACGCACAGTGCCTAGCAGGTGGCAGCCGTAGAGGGTCCCCCAAAGGGGAGGGGAGGGGACAGAAGCATGGGCAGCACCCTCCCCAGCAGGAAAAAATCACCATCTCCTGTCCACAGGGCGTCTGCCCAAATACCCTAGGGCTAGGGCTGCGGAAAGCAGGCGGCCCAGCCACGGGAGGAGGAAGGATTTGTGCCTCCAGCGCTCGCTGAGAACCCCACGGAAAAGCCAGCCTCTTACAGCTCCGTGGAGAAACGCTGGGCCTGCCGGGGCTGGGATGGAAGAGGAGAGGGGAGAGGTGGAAAGACGCAGGGTGGGTGGTCCTGCAGGAGGGCGGGGGGGGGGGGGGGCGGACGGACAGACGTCCCAGGGAACCACTGCCTGTTCCACCCCCTCCCTTCAGTTCACAGCAGCACGCCCATTTCACAGCTTCTGTCACATGAAACCCCCATTAACTGTGACATCCAACAACCCTACCTGGGGAGAGGGGGCTGCGGGCAGTGGAGATGGAGGGTGCGGGATTAGAGGATGCGCGGCTCAGAGAAGAGGAGGGGCTGCCCCGGAAGGCACCGGGCGGCCGCTAAGTGCTGGCCCGCTGGCCCTCAGGGCGCCAGCTTCTCAAGTCTCCTCTGAGGGAAGGCGGGCTTGATGGCTGCCTTCAAGGGAATTCTGCACCCCTGAGTCCTGCAGACTGACATCCCAGAGGAATTGTGTCTCTCCTCTGAAACGCTCTAGAGCGGATTTTTTCTTAGAGCTGTCCAGTTTGGACACTGACAACGTGGCAGCTGAGCAGCAAAGATGTCCTTGACTGGTAGTAAGGCCTTTGTTTGCACGCACCCTGGCCTCTGACTGTGTCCATTGCATGGAGAGGCAAACTGAGGCCCAGAAAGTCTGCTGACTTCTCCCAGGACACACTGCAGTTCAGGACAGTATCTTGTGATACTCAGGGATTAGGGCCACTACCCAACCCTGGATGTCCCCCTTGACCCTGGAGGGGAAGGGGTGCCGAGCTGCCAGCAGAGAGCTGGCTCAGATGACCTGAGGGCACGCCCTCAATAGGCCTCCCCCGAGATGCTTGCCACCCCTTTCCATTGTCCTTGCTGACACTGGGCTGCACTTTGGGCTGCAGGCCAGTGGGCTGCCTCCCTACCCCCACCTCCCGGCTGCCGGTCCTGTCAAAAGCTCAGCGGGGCTCCCGAACAGCGCTCTAATTAGCGCAGGACCAACCACACCTGCAGCGTCCCGGGAGAGGGCAGAGGCAGGCGCCCATGCGTGAGGCCGGGTGGGGGCAAGCCCGGGGCAGCAGGTCCGCACCCCCTCCCTGATCCCAGCTGGGGAGATTAGGGGAGGGAGGGCAGGCTCTGGAGGCTGGGGGTTCTTAGAATCAGCCGAGACCCTGTGGCTTCCTCCCCTTTCAGTTGAGGAAACTGAGGCTGGGCAGAGAGCCCCTGGGCGATCTCACCTGGCTTCATTCCTCCTACTGGGCTGTCCACTTATATTCTGAACCTTTTATCCAAGTCGTACCCTCTCCCCAGCCTGGTATCTTCTGCCCAAGCAAACAGAGGAAGCTCCATGCCACCTCCTCTGAACCAAGCTCCTGGGGAACAACTCTAGCTCCATGGGAGGTAAAGGGGCCTTCTCTCCCAGGGCGGACATTGCTGTTCATCCCATTCTGAACTACCCTCTTTCTGGAAAACTCTCTCCACTGCAGGGACAACATCAACCTTCTGGCTTCCATGGGGGCTCAGCCTCCTCCAGCAAGGGAAGGCTTCCCAGGTTTCCCTCAGCTCACCTCCACCCACGGCCAAGCAATCCTAGGGCTTCGGCCTTGTGGTCTTGTGGTCTGCCTAGGCAGCCTGGTAGAGGGCTGAGCCTCCAGGGTAGGAGGCCAGGCTGGGGAAGGAGGGCAAACAGGGACACACAGTCTACCCTCCATCCCATGGAGGTAGCAGCTGGAGACAGAGTATGTCTAGACAGTCCCTGGTCCTGTGCCTGTCCTAGTCCTGAGGAGGAGAGAAACGCCCCTCAGTCACTTGAAGAGGACAGAGGGGAGTGGGGCAGGAGGCAGGCTGGCCACTGGTGTGGCCTCTCAAGACAGTCATGTGCAGCAAAGCCAAGGCATTGGCCCCCTGCACCAGTCTGGGCTCTGGGGCAGCTGCGGGATGAACAGACTGACCTGGTTGGGGGCCCCACACAACTATAATGGAAGAGGCTGCAATTCCGGGGCGTTTGTCACTCCTGGGTTCCAGCCTGGCTTGGAACCTGTCAGGTGTTGACTGTAAATAAGGAGCTGGCTGGGAAGGAACTGGCTAGAGGCCGCTCTAGGCCTGCGCAGTCCTGCCTGGGGGAGGCCGGCGGGGTGAGGCTGTATCTGGAGGACACCTTCCAAGGTGCATTCCCGAAAAGCAGAACAGAACCTGTAGGTCCAGCCCCCACACCCTGCCCAACAGTAGCTTCTCCTGCCACGCGTGGGGTGGAGCTGGCCTGCAGGGGTGAGTTACCACATGGGAAGAGGCAAGATCAGACTGTAGCTGCGGCTCCTGTCCTGAGCTCTGGACCCACTGGGGCCAGGTCACAGCTTGTTTACAGCCCTTGGGAACTTCAGCTTTGGCCCAGGGGAATCTGAGCCCCTGTTCTCCTCCCACCTCCACAGCCAGGACCTGCAGGGCCTCCTTGAGAAACCTGACCCCTCTCCACTCTCTCATGTCCCCTTAGCTGCTCTGTGCCCCACCCCAGCACTTGTCTCAGGCCCCAGCAGGTGCCCCACACTGGGGCTCTGCTCCCTGAGTCCCCGGTTGAGTTCCCAGGTGCCCGCCCTCTCATCCACAATTGGGTGGCACTGGGAGGCTGCCCAGGGAGGGAAGCAGGGAGGGGAAAAGGTGACTGTGTCATGATCTGTCCCCTCACCCCACGCACCCTTCCTCAGCTGGGGCTGGCCAGGCTGGTTTATTCCGTGGAGCTAGGCTGTCTGGGAATTTGCTGTGCCAAGTAGAATGACCTTGGACAAGGAGACTGGGGCTCCCTTTGATCCTCTGCAGCTCGACAGATTCTCTGGGCCTTGGCCCATCCCTGCAGGACAGGCACAGGAGGTCCCTGAGAAGCTCACAAGGCGACACCCCAGCACCCATGTGCATGTACATGCCTCTGTGCCCAACACTGCGCTAACTGTGCACACACACTGCCACACTCAGACATGTGACACTGCCCAACCAGAGCTCACACATCACAAACAATACTCACCTTCACTCTGTGTTCAGGCACACACACACACACACACACACACCAAACAAAGGTGGGAACACACCCTCCAGGCTCAGCCCTTACCTGCTTCTGTACACAGACCCCCCCCCCACACACACAAGGTCCACGCACCATTAACGACACAGCCACCCACTTCCTTGTGCTGAGAATGCTCACATAGCCTACACTGCCACACCCGTTAGCCCAAGTCCACTTTATGTTACACTGACTTGTGTTGCGCGTTTGGGGCACATTCCTCACGCGCATGCACGCAAGTTCCCATGGGAGGATGCACACACATGTGATCTCTGCCCCCTTCTCTCTCAGGGGCATTTGGAAGCACTCTGAACTCAGAGTCCGAAGCAGGGTCAGGGTGAAACAGTTACTTCCCAGCCCCCTCCTGTGGGTCAGCCTGGCCTGGGCCCTCCACCCCTCTGCCTTCACAGGTGTTGCCTTTTGTATGCATCACTCCCACTGGACAGAGAGCTCCCTAGTCTCTCTAGGTCTCATCTTTCTTTTCCCCTTGGCAAGAAGCAGGGCTGAGGGACCTCGGAACCCACAGCTGCAGAGCACCACAGCTCCCCACCTTGGTCTCCCCGGCTGTGGCTCATACTCACTGATTCGGGGGTGGGTGATGTAGTTTCGGGTGACTGCCTGCACATGCTGTCGGGCTGTGCCTGGGTCACAGCCACTGCTGGGGAGCTCCCCGGGCCTGCTGTCTACCTTCATAGCCATGGCGAGTGGTGGCTAGGAGTCAGTGCCTGACTTGGTGGCGGCCAAGACTGAAGACTTTGGGCCCAGCTGGAGCTGGAAGGAACTGCCCAGCCTGAGCCCGCGGCCACCCCTCCCCTTGCTCCCCTCTCCTCCCACTCCCTCGGCACTCCTCCCCCAGGGGCTGACTGTAAACAGGGAAGCTGGCTCAGCTCTGAAGCTTGCTCCACGCGCAGGGTGTGCAGACCTGGGAGCTGGAGGGTGGCGAGGGGAAGGGCAGAGCTGGAATGCAGCTTCTCTAACCTCTGTGCTTGGCTGCCCTCTGCCCGCAGCCCACAGCCCACAGCCCACAGCCCACAGCCCACAGCCCACAGAGAGTGGGCATCCCACACCCCTCAGGTTCCTTGTCTCCTCTCCATGCCAGACTTTTCTGGCAGGCTGCCCTCTCCTTGCTGGCCTCCCAACCTGCCCCCCATACCCTACACAATACTATCAGGGTCTTTTCCCAACATCTACAGAGGATTCTCTCCTGGCCAGTGTCGCTGCCACCTCCTAAAGCCCCTGGATTCCCTAGCACTTACCTTAGGGCAGGTCTCTCATGTTGCTGCCACTGGTGTGAGCCATAAGCTGAGCCGGTGACTCTTCCATCAGACCTAGCTAGGTCTCCTTACACCTGTCCTGTGCTATTGGGAACTCCCCGAGAATCAGGGCTTGTTTCTTAGTCTGATTCTAGGGCCTGGCATTCTCAGCCTAGGACAGAGAGTATAAATAGAGGCCCCTATATTGCATGTCTAAATATTTGGGATTACAAATCAAGCTGTGCCCACAGCCTCTCCTTGTTCCATACAAGACCAGCTGCTGCTTCCCAAGGCCCCCTTCGTGCAGAGAGCAGAGGCAGCACAGGTGTGGTGGGTCGGCAGAATGGATGCAGGGAGGTGGCCGAGTGGGCCTAATCCAAGGTCCCTGGGGCACCCCCATGTCTCATTTAGACTCAGCGTTTCCCAGGCGATATGGAGGGAAGGGTAGGGTGCTGTTGTGAGGATCCCCATCTTGCAGCCCCCCAGTGGAGGTACCGAGCAAAGGCACCAATTTGAAACTGTGTTCCCCAGAGCAGCCTGGAATAGACTGCTTGTTTTTCCATCACAAATGGTCCAGCCCTCACCCCGAATTCTCTGGCTGAGGAACTGTTTCAGGTCCCTGGCTCCTCCAACCTGATTCCCAGCTCGGCGAAGAATTCCGTTGAGGGCAGTAGTGGATGTGACTAGAAGGGGCCCCTTGGTGGTGGCGGAGCTGAGCTGCATCCTGACTGCATCGTGGCTTTGCAGTCTACGCAGGTGATAAAATGACACGGAGCTAAACACAGAATACCAGTGTCAACCCCGAGTTTGATATTATACTAGTTTTGGAAGATAAACCACTGGAGGAATTGGGTGAAGAGACTCCTCTGTCCTATCTTTGCAGCTTCCTATAAATGTACAATTACTGCAGAATAAAAGCTAAAAACCTTGAGTGGGAAAGCTTTCTAAAGAGTGTTTCCTGTTGCAGTGTTTGCCCCACAGGCCGTATGTAAACACAGGGCTGCCTGGGCTTACCCTGTGTGCCCTTCTCTTTCCGCATCTGCTGTCACCTTGGGTCCTTCATTCCCCTGGAGGGCTTTGTTCTTTTCCCCTCTCAAATGTTTCTCAGTTTGAAAGAGAGGCTTGCAGGAAAGCGCTGATGTCACTACTGGAGGGTGAAGGCTCTGGCTGGGAGCTCACTGAGGAGTGGGAAGGGGGGGGCTGCTGAGCCCACATGTGGATGCCCTGACCGGCCTGTGGCCCAGGTTCTACCCTGTCCCGTATGAGGTCCTCTCACTCTTAAGCCATTTGCCTTTGCAGCGAGGACAGGGATGGGAGGGAATGAGGTGGCTACGGGGAGTGGTTCCCTTCTTGGCGTGTTTTCCTTTATTTCAGTGAGAGATGCGCAGTACACTCACACACACACACACACACACACACACACACACACACACACACTGCACTCACACACAAGCTGTGGGACCAAGGCCGTTTGGTCGAGTCTCTGAGCTGAGGGCAGGTGGGGACAGGGCTGCCACTGCTGCCCTCCCTGAAGGGCCGCTCGGAGCAGTCCTCTGGGGCCGGAGGGCTGGGGCAGTGCTGTGCTGGGGACTCAGAGTCGCGCAGGGGTGGGAGTCTTATGTGTTAGCTTTCTTGCCGCCGCCACCAGGACTGCCTACTTTCCTTTCTAGCCGGTTGTAGGGCTCAAAGGCTGAGGAGCCCAGTTCGTAGCCAGCAGGCAGGTCCAGAAGCGGGACTGTGGAAAAGCAGATGGCTGGCAGAGGGGGCGGCAGCGGGGGTGATGCCGAGGCCGAGGGCAGAGGGTTGAGACGTGGAGAGGAGTTCCTGGGGTCACCCAAGGAGGCGGCCCTGTGGTCAGCAGGCAGGTCCGGCAGGCCGGGCGTCAGCGCCAGGAGACTGGGTACCCTGGGCACGGACAGCAGTCGGCCCTGCTCCAGCAGCCGCAGAATGTTGGAAGTGGCAAAGGCCTCAGAGGCGGAGGAGGATGCCCGCTTTTCCAGGTCTCTGCTCTGGTCTTTCTTCTGCTTGGTGCGGCGGTTCTGGAACCAGACCTTCACCTTGGGGCAGTGGGCGAGGAAGGGGTGCCAGGATGGCGAGAGGCCAGGCACAGCACAGTGGGGAGAAAAGAAGTGTGTGGGCCAGGGCAGAGGTGGTGGATGGAGGCAGAGGGGAGGGCAGGGCCACAAGAGCAGGAAGAGAGAGGAAGGAGGGGAGATAGAGAGGGGGAGAGAGAGAGAGATTGAGATTGTCATTAGAAGCCTACGCATCCCACCCTGGGTGATCTGATTAGGAACCCATGTCCCCAGGTTACGGACCCCTTCATTGCTGAAGCTGGCACTGGCCTGGGATGGAGGACTGGGTTGGCAGATGGCGGTGAGGTTTGAGGCTGCAGCTGAAGGACCAGCGTTCCCTTCTTGGCCTTCACACTCTGCTCTTAGCCGAGTTAATGGACTTAGCCACCATCCTAATTACTGTGGCCCCAGGCCCAAGTCTCCAGACTGAGGTTCAAGCTGGGTGCCCATGAGACATCACCCCACAGATGTCCCAGAAGGACCCCAAACTCCATCCTGACGGACACAGACAGCTCAGGCCAGCTGTTCCAGCGACCAGCCTCTCCCACATTGCACCTTCCACCATGGCCATCTCCATCCACCCAAGCAGAACCTGAGGGTGGGGGCTGCCCTCAGCCTCCTCTCTTCCCTTGACCTGGAGGTGACAGCTGTCTCTATGGCAGCACCATCAGAGTCACTTGAAGAATTTGTTTAAAGCTACCTCACTGCTGACCTTATCCAAATAGGGGTGGCAGGCCCAGGCCTCAACAGTTCTTACAGCTTACCAAGTGACAAAACCACTGCTCTAAAGGTCTCTGTGTCTCAGGTCCAAACCCTAACATCTTCAGGGCAGGAGATAAAATGCAAGCCTCTGCCAGTGGTCTGCCCTGGCACTGACACATGTGTGGGTAACCCGAGCTGCTCACAACACAGAAACAACCTCTCATGGGTGTTTCCCAGGGTTCTGAATAATGTCCGTGTCTGATGTTATTTGGAGGACTGACTCAGAAGAGGATGAGGAAAGCACTAGACCGGGAACTCTGGAATCCTAGTCACCTGGGGGTGGGTTAGAAAGTGGGCATGACTTCTTGGCTCCATAGAATTCTCATCTCGCCATGTAAGGAGAGACATGGCCAGAGGAAGCCAAGGTGGGACCCGCCGCCGCGTGGGCATAAGGCAGGGGCAGGGTGTGCGGTCTGAGAACAGTCCCATCACTGCTCCATGCTGTGGAGAGCGATCTTCCAAACCAGCCTGGCATTCACCTTTTCAGAGGCATCCTCCCTCCTCATTTCCTGTAAAGATCAAGGTTCTCAACACAATTCCAAGTAGGACAGGATATGGCAAGGTGTTGGGGGGCTTCTGACAGCCATACACTCGAAGCTAAGGACAAAGAGAAAGCCACAAAAAAGGGGCAGAGACCTTTTTGGAGTCCCTGAAAGGAGGTACATCCAGCTTGCCACTGCCACCACCACTGCCACGGCCCCTTCCTGGTCTGTGTGAAAAAAGGGGGACTCAGAGTGGACAGGGGGCTGAAAACTTGGGGCAATATGAGATTTCTTTGTCTCTGAGAGGGTGGGAGAGCTCCCCCAACAGAAGGCAAGTCAGGAGCTCAGAAAACACCACTTGTAGGCCCTGAAAGTGCCTGAGGAGACTGGCACTCAGCAGTTGGCAAATATGACAGACTATCACCTCACTGCTGCCACCACCAAAGTGCCTAGACTCATGTCCCATGAGCTTCATGCCCATGCATGTGCCAGCAGGAAGAGAAGGAACCATAAAGAGAACCCCAGATGGAAAGTATTGGGGGGTCTTGCTCGTTCTCCCAGTCTTCAGAGGACCCCAATAGTCCAGCTACTCTGGTGGCACAGAAGTCATGGTTCCTGCCCTTGGGAAAGAGAGAGTTTAGCAAAGAGGGCACCAACCCACTTGTAACAAATGGCAATTAGGTACAAGGGAGTGGCAGTGACAAAGAGAGTGACTAATGTGAAATGACAAAGCGTGTAGGAGGGGCTGTGCCCCAAAACACCCTTCTTTGTGCAGCTGTGGATATAGCAAGGAGAGGTGGGAGTGGCTGGCATTGCCCCTGGCAGTCTCCTGGGCAGGTGGGCCTTGGACAGGGAGAGAAGGCAGAGGGCATGTGGAGCAGAGGCTGAGACCTGGTGTGGCATCTGGTGGCATGTGTGAGCTGGACGGAGCTTCTCAATCCTGGCTGTGCCCTGGAATGACCAGGGCGCACTCTTCTAAATGTCCAGGTCTCATCTGGTACCCACTTGATAGGAATTGCTAGAGGGTGGGGCCGAGGCATTGGGACTGTTGGAAAGCTCAGTGGGTGGCTCCAATGCACTGCAGCTGTTGCCAACTTGCAGGGTGGGAGGGTCCTAAATTACTTACTGAGAGCGCCTGTGGAGCCCTTAAGCCACAGAGCACACCATCAACAGAAAAGAATTAGGATGCCTGCGTTTCTGCTTCCCACCATCAACCGCATGGTCCCCAGTGGCTGGTTCATAAGGCTAAGCAAACATGAGATGAGCTGATGTCCCAAAGACTCAGAGAGCTTGCCCTTCTCCTCCAGGAAGGCTTCAGTTTCACCTGAATCCAGAGTTACTGGCCCTTTAAGGCTCTGTTCAGCCATTCCTCCAGGAAGCCACTTGGGGCTGACAGTACAAAGTGACAGGGCCACAGTCCTATCCTGAAGAGCAGTGCACTTCCTGGGGTGTCCCCTCCCTTCATCTGAGTGCTCTGTGGTGGCCTCTCCTCAGAACTCCATCGTGGTTACTTGGGATCCAGTGAGTCCTTGGTGGCTTCACATTCTGATCCCTTTCTGGGCCACACTGTGACCAAAGCTGCACACCAGAGGAGGGGCACGGCTTTGAGGACTGGGGGGATTATCCGTCATATACTTAGGTTCATGAGCAGCGTTAGATTCAAAGACTCACTGTTCATTTGGAAATGGTGTTAATCTTCTAAAGACTGCTTCCTGTGACCATGGGAACATAGGAATCTGAGACCAAGAGCACCTGAGATTCTAGAATGGTCTTGGGCTTTCCTGCAGCTGGCGTTGGGAGGATACTATCTATTCTGCTATTCTGCAGAAACCACCAGGCAGGGGCAAGGAGCGTGGGCCTGAGGACCACTGCTGATGGGCTGGAGCAGATTGGATGCAAGGACTTAGCAGTTTGTCCTTAGCCTGTCCCCTGGACCTGCCTACGTTTTCCAGACCAGCCCGGACAGAGGGTGGAGAGGTGAGGGTTGGGGAGGAGCCCGAGCCAGCCTCTCTCCTCTCCTTCTTCCACAGCCACATCTTTTCTTGTTTTCTGCTCTGACCTTGGAACTCTGGTCATTCATTCACACAACACACAAATACCAAGTATGTGATACATACCAGCATTGTCAGGGCAGAAAAACAAGAGTAAATAAAACTCCATCTTGACCCACTTGACTCTGACACTAGTAGTGGGGGACAGCATGTGTTATAGGGTGTTTTCATAGATGTAGCAAAGAATATAACGCGAAGACACTGAGGTCAGGCAATCCTGGTCCTTCTCCTAGCTAGATGACACTGGGCAAGCTTCTTAATCTCTTGGTGTCTCTGTTTCTCCACCAATAAAATGGGGATCATGTTAATTTTCAGAGGTATGCTGTGGTCACCCCAGGACCAGATGATCATGCCTGGAAGAAAGTGAGGTCTGCCATGTTGGCTAGTCAGATTTGGGCGTTTTACCAGCATCAAGGATTTCCGACATCCCAGTGCATTAGCTTTACCTGGGTGGAGAAGTACATAGATTCTCTAAGAAATCTGATCAGGAGTCTCTGGGCTGAGCTGGCACAGTCATCTGCTTTTCATCACGAATGCTGGGGAGCCCCACCACCCATTCCTCAAGATACATTGCTTTAACCGAATGCTCAACTTTCTTTTTTAAAATAAGCCTGGTAACAAAGTGTATCAGGAGGTCTCCCAAATCAGGTGATCTTGTTCCTGTTCTTGGATTTGGTTACTGAGAGGAGCATTCGGCCCAAGTCCCTGGCGGGCGTGGGGGTGGTGAGAATGGGGTGGAGGGTGCTCCTGTGAGCACCTCCTGCACGTGGTGAACTCCTCTGCTGTGGGGTCAGGGTGTCCAGGCAAGTCCAGGGCAGAGGTCACTCACTTGCCTTGTTCGTGACTGACATTGCAGGGACCTTCCAACAGAGCCTTGTTGTTGGGAGGAGTGGAGGAAGGGCTTTGAGAGTCTGTCTGCTGGTCCTGCAGCTGGGCTTCTGACTACAAAAGGACATGATGATGTAACTGGGCACGGAAATATCAAGGAAGAAACGGAATGAGAGGGGACTGAGCAAGCTCCGCGTTTTCTCTGCCTCAGGTAAGTAGATCTTCTTGGTATTTGGGCAAGAGGGGAAAGCACTGGCTGGCAGCAGGAGAAAAGTGGACAGAGAGAAACGGACACTTGGTAACCATGAGCTGCACCTTGAGTGGGACACCCCTTCACTCTGTGCTAGTAACCCCCAGTGCACTGGAGTGCGTCTCAGATCATTCTGCTTCTCTCCTCCCCTGGAGCAGATACCATGCCAGGAGCCCCTAACTGGTTCACTTTGTCACCTGTGATCCATCATCCAGCTGGCAGCCAGAGTGACTCCTATAAAATGCCAATCATCTCATATCATTCCCCTTTCAGGGCTTTACTACAGACTCTAAGCGCTACGCAATCTGCTCCAACTCCTGCCACATTGGCCTTCTGACTCTTCTAGAACATTCTATGTCCGGTCTTGACTTTTCTTCTGCTTCCTCCTCTGGGTCGCTGAGATCTAAGGTCTCCTCAAAGAGACCTTCCCTGGCCAACCCAATGAAAGATCTTTTCTATTGCACTACCTTATTTTATGTCCCTCAGAGCACCTAACACTTTGAGGAGCTCTTTGTCTTTCTCTTCACAGATATAAGCTGTACACGGCAGGTGCCTGGTCTGTGTTGGTCTCTGCTATCACTCCAGTACCTTAGAACAGTACCTGATGGACGGCAGACATTCAACCATATTTTAAACAAGAGTATGGATGAATAATTATACAAATAATTCCTTGGAGTCCTAGCTGAATAACCTTAGGCAACTTAATCTCTCTGAGGCTCAGTTTTCTTTCTTTTTTTGTCTTTTTCGTTTTTATTGGTACCAGGGATCGAACTCACGACTGCCTGCTTGCAAGGCAGGCGCTTATGCCGCTGAGCTAAATCCCCAGCCCCAAGGCTCAGTTTTCTTAAGTGGGGATAATATCCATAAAGTCAGCTCTTCTAAGATTAAATGAGCTAACAAATGTGCCTGCTTTAAGTTTTGAGCAAGTTATGTAAATTTTCTATGCCTCAGTTCCCTTCTGAATATAGATCCATTATAGTATAATAAAAACTATCTGGTCTTTGGCTTGGATCCTGGCACAGAGCTCCTTACACCCTTGGAGAGCCCCGAGTAAAAGGTGCATCTTTGTTACTCACGGAGCTCTTTTCCACTATCCTCGAACTTATGTTAATGAGGTGACTCTGGACACCTTGGCAGTTTCATGAAACTGGTCCCAGAAAGAGAAAACACTCAGTTATAGGGTGGGCCTTTCCAGCACCCCCCACCTTCAGGGAGTGGAGGGGCTGGGGGCTGGAGGGAAATACGGGGGCCCGGGACATTGGTGAAGGGAGGGCAGCTCCTTCTCCTCCCTTACCCTGTGACCTCTTCTGCTTGGCCGGAATTCATGTCCTTTGTGATCAACAAGCACATATAAGTGAAATGTCTTCCTTGGCTCTGTGAGGAAGGGGACGTGGATGCTCCTAATTAAGTGCTCCTCGGTTAGAAGTGCAGATGGCACCTGGGACTTGTGACTGTCATGTGCAGTGGCAGTGTGTCTCACAACTGAACTCCTGAAGTGTGGGCTAACTCTGGGAATCAGTGTCAGAATAGAATCACTGGACATCCAGCGGGTGCTGGAGAACTGGAGGTCTGGCTGCTGGTGGTGCTGGAACACAGCCACATTTGGTGTCAAAACACCTCATGGATCCCAGGAGATTGCAGTGAGAACCAAATTAGTTAGGTTACGTGAGGCCTAAAAACAGGGCCTTGCCCATGGGAAGCTCTCAGTCACTGCTGGCCATACATTATTCATCCTATTGCATGATGCCAGGCTCAGGAAAGAAAGCAGGGCAGGAGCTGTCAGAGGGAAGTGAGGATTCACCAAGGATTCACCATGTGCCCAGCTGTGCTCTGAGTTCTTCCAGTCTCCACGAAAAGACACTGTGCTTTGAACACATTCTTATCCTTAGGGTACACATACTGCATGGCGTTATCACAACACACGGATACACAAACACACACTTTAAGGTTCATGGAAATGCCTTGTGGCATGACAAGGAGCCTCAGGGAAGGGAAGGGCTCTTGGAAGAGCAGGAGCTGATGTCCAAGGGCCAAGGCTGAATGCGGGGTGGGATATATGAGTACCAAGAAGCTCCTGCTTTGGGGGTATCTGAGGTACCTGGAGAGCACAGTTGCTGGAGGATTTTAGGACAAAACTAGATGATTGGGAGAAAGAAGGGCACAGAGAAAGGGCAGATGCTGCCTCTCTGCTCAGCCTTGAGGGCTGAGGGAGTCTCCCTGCCTTCCCAGCAGCTCCGACCGGCCCAGCCACTGCTGCCTCCTCCTGGATACAAGCCCAGCCTCTTAGCCACCGGCTAAGCACAGCTGACAGAGTGAGCCTACGCGGGCAACAAGAGAAAGCCAAGTCCAAGGAGATGACCTATGCCCACAGGACAGAAGCTGCCAGGCCTCCTGGGTCAAGGGGGTTTCCAGACGCCCTCCTCTGCACATGGAGGACCAAGGCACACTGAGATGAAGGGAACCTGATGGACAGTGACAGAGCCCAGACTGGGGAAGTGCACTGTCCACTTGGATCATGTCTCATCTCTTCTCAGAATCCGTTTTGTGTGGTTCTGGGACTATAGGGGCCCCCGTGGCCAGCTTTGCCCTAGAAGTTTTGTTCCCAATAAGCCAATCCCTTACCATCATTTCTTGAGGTTTCTCTTACATGCCAACATCTCCTAAGCCACTCCCCGCAGTCCGAGTGCTCCCTATTTCTCTGGCCTTTCTCATCTTCCACAAGGTACTTGATGCTCCCAGGCCTCCCCACCCCCACCCCATGGCATTTACCAATACTCCAGCCAGCGCTGCCTTTGCTCTGGTTCACCTGCAGATTTAAGTCTTTCCATCATCCATGTCTGAGTACAGTTTTCTCTTGCAGCCCACAGCCTCAGTCCTCACAGAGTCTGAGGGTCCTAGGACAGGAGTGAGGTGTAGGCCTGGCCTCTTACCTGGGTCTCGGAGAGGTTCAGCTGGCGGGCCAGCTCGGTGCGCTCCCGGCCCACCACATACTGGCAGCGCTGGAACTCCATTTCCAGGCGATACAGCTGCTCGGCAGTGAAGGACGTGCGGGTCCGCTTGGGTCGGTCCAGGTCCAGGCCCTTGGGCAGGACAATTTCTCGGATAGTCCCCTTGGCATCTGCAGGGGCCATGAAGGGAGCTAGGTTTACTAGCTCAGTTAGGTCACCAACAAGCATCTTGATAAGAGCCTAACAGGAAGCTGCTCTGGCCTGGGCCTGGCTCTGTGGTCTCTAAGATGCTTGCCCTCTCTGGGGTGAGCATACCCCAGCACACCCAGCACAGGCTGTTGTATCTAATATATGTATCAGTACAAATGTCAGGTCTTTCAACACTAGGTAGAAAGGATTCACTGTGGCCAAGCCAGTATTCTGTTTCCTTAGCAGTTTAAAGACCAAATAGAGAGAAGTATGCTGATTCTTCAAAATGGATGAAAAGATGGAATAGAACTGGGTGTGGTACATGAGGGAAGGCTTATTAGAGATGTCCAGAAGCCAGGTCCTAAACCCTGTGTGTGTGTGTGCACTCAAGAGTATGCACTCTGCCCCACTGATCCCTGGGGTTCCTTAAGGAGGTTAACTGGTATGAAACAGAGGACAGAATAGGGATCTGGGGTTCACAAGAGAAGCCCAAGGACAGCGACCACAACACCAGGATGCGGAGCACCTTCCCGAGAGGGACTCCCATCACTTCCCATGGACCTGAACAGCACAGACATCCAGGCTCTACACCCATGCCCTCTGTTTGCAAGGCCTTCATACTTTGGAGCCTACTTTAAAAAGCTGAACTACCTGTAGCCCATGTTCACCATATATTCCCACTTGGCAACAATACAGTGTTCAGAAAGTAAACTGTTTGGAGGATGGTGGTGACATTTATGCAACAGCATTAACTGTGAGGTAAAAATAATCCATGTGTAAACCACACACACTGTTAACTTAAATCCAGCTATTAGAATATGTTGTTAAAAATTCGACTGTGAGATTGGGAGAAAAATTCAGTGGTGAAGCATTTGTCTAGCATTTGTCAAGGCCCTGGATTTGATCACAAAAACAAAAATTGGGATTGAGGCTAGGTGTGGTGGCACATGCCTATAGCCCAAGAGCATTGGGGGACTGAGGCAGGATGATTTCGAGTTCAAGGTCAGTCTGGACTATGTAGTCTTAAAGAAATTACTGTGAAAATATGCATTATTGTACCTTGTACAGTTTATCAAACCACTCCAATGGATGATGTCACTAACAGTGAACTGAGGCTATCAGTAATTTACCATTTCAGCAGGAAGAGCATCAGCAATAAAGCCTTCCACTCAAGGCAACCTGACAGGCCCAGTAACACCAATCTCCACAGCTGCAGCAATTCCAACTCCCTCCAGAGGGCGTGCGGAGCTGTCCCTTGCAATGTGGCCAGACATGTTAGTGGCAGAGTCATAAGGATTACTGACGCTTCTGCAATACTCACTCAGGGCAGGTACTTTCTTTCTTTCTTTCTTTTTTTTTTTTTTTTTTTTTTTGTACTGGGTATCTGACTCATGAACTCAACCTCATGCTTGGCAGGCAGGCGCTTATGCCACTGAGCTAAATCCCCAGCCCCTTGGTAAGTACTTTCTTAAGCACTTCAACTTTCCCAATACCTCAGTGAAGTTGGAACAATTATTATTCCCATTTTACAGATGATGAAACAAGGATCAAATTTAAATATGTTACTCAAGTTCACAGTGGTGGTCAATAAACACTAGCAATGTCTTCATTTCACTTCATGAATACCTTCTCTTTGGGTAATCCTTAGTAATTTAATTGATAGGTTAGAAGTGAGAGGATTTAGTCATGGGTAAAAAAGGACCTTTCTGGATGGGTGCATCATTCCCCTGAAGAACATGGCAAGGGAGCTGTTTGAGGTGTGCCACTGGCCAGGAGGCTCCTCACCATCCATGGGAACTGTGGTCCTGGTTTTATGATCCTTGCCCTCCAAGCTCATTCAAGCCCCTCTTGTAACCCTCACTTCATAAGTCTGACTTCCTGGCTCCTGCCCGGACCTGTGAGCATCCCCAGTCCCCGTGTGCTCTAGCTCCTCAGGGCTCCTGGCTCACATGTCCTGCCCCTGATCTCAGACGTTCTCAAGCATCTTCATGTCCACACTCAAAGTCAGGGAGAAGGTGAGTCAGGGTGGAGGGAGCCATCACGACTTTAAGGTGGCTCTCCCCACACTTTCCCTCTGCCAATGAAGGCCACGTCCAGCCTGGATACTGGACCTCTTGGAACAACTCAGACTCCCTAATTTCAATTCTTTCTACATTCCAAAAAACATAGGATAATATTTTAACGACATCATGACTTTGCTTGGGTTACATTATTATCAATTGTGAGCCAAGACTCAACTTCCTTACAACACCCCAAGTGAGTCCATCTCAAAAGGCTGGTTTTATGAACTGTGTCTGAGGGTAGAGCTGAGAGGAAAGGGACTGTTGTCCCTGGCGTTGGAGGCTTCAGAGGTTGCCTCCTGAAGCCCAGCCCAAAGCTTCTGAGCCCAAGTCCTCACCATGAGGGTCAAATCACACCGGGATCCACCCTTTCCTCCTCTACAAGAGAATCATTGGTACCTCAGGGAGTGGCCAACACCAGTCATCTCCCTCAGGGTCCCCATACAGGAAAGGCAACCCCAGACTGGCCACCTCAAAACACAAATCAGCATATGAAACGATATCCCACATCCCTGGCATTAGGGAAATGCAGATTAGAGTCAGGATGAGAAACGCTGACTTAAACCATACGGAGAGTGCCAAAGGCTGAGAGGGATGCTGAGAACTGGATCTCCCTACTTTGCTGGTGGGAATGTAAAGTGTACAACCGCTTTGGAACCTGGCCTGGCAGTTTTTCTGTTGTTTTTGTTTTTGTTTTTCAGTGCTGAGGACTGAACCCAGGGCCTCAAACATTTTACGCAAGAATTCTACTACTGAGCTACATCCGCAGCCTTTGGCACTTAGAGTTGAATACATACTTATCGTACAATCCAGTGATGGCATTCCTGGACATTTCTTCTAAAGAAATGAAAGTTTATGTTCACACCAAATCCTGAATGCAAATGTGCCTAGCAGCTTTCTTTGTACTGCCCCCAAATACAAACAAAGATGGTGTTTAGTAGGTAAGTGGCTGAACAAACCTGTACAACATTAAACCCACTCAGCACTAAGAAAGAATCAGTCCTGGTATACAAAACAATTTGCTCGGGGAATTATATTGAACAAAACAACTATTGTCAAAAGTTATATGCTGTATGTTTCCATTAATATAACATCAAAATGACAAAAGTATGGAGGTGCAGAGCAGATGTGTGGTTACCAGGGTAGCCGGGTAGCATGAGAAAGCTTTTCGTGTAAATGCAGCTATGCATTTTTATTGCAATGATCATATAGATCTAGAAGTATGATGAAACATCGTCCTGTATATACAAAGTCATAAAAATCAGCACAAGGAAAGGCTGGTGTGATCTGAGGAAGGTCTGTAGTTCAATTAATTACATTTGCCCATATCAGTTTTCGGGTTTTGATGTTCTGCTATGGATACATAAGATGGTCAGGTGATGTATATGTAGGACTCCCCCCATATTATTTCTACAACTTCTTGTAACTCTATAATTATTTTAAAATAAAACAAAATGAAAAATAAAAACAACAACAAAAATATACCATAAAGCTAGAGTGATGTGTTGTCACTGAAATAGGCAAATTCCCTAAAGCGGTCTTGCATTCTGCTTGTGGATTGTAAGATTATTTAAAATGGTATGTAAATATTTTTCACTTCAAAATTTGTTTTTTAATGCTTACTAGAAAAAAATTAAACCTATGATTTTACATGCTAAGGATGAGGTTAGAGCGAGTATTGAATTTTAACATGCATTATGCTAAAGTATTAAGTAAAGAAATGCAATAGAACATACCAAACAAAGATGACACTTCAGTGACCATTGGGTAACGGCAGATGTGCTATTAGACACGTGTGTATATAGTGATGGAATTTTTGAGAAAGAGCATTCTAAATGGAGCCAGTCACCAAGTGGAGCTAAGTAGACTGGTGACCATAAATTGTATACTTGGAATACAACTAAGTTCAGTTACTGTTTCATACCATAAATAAGAAATTTAAGTAGACTGCAGAGCAAAGCACAGACAGTAAAATGACAAAGCCATTGTAAGAAGATATGTAAGAATATTTTCATAATCCTGATTTGTTAGGATCTTGCTAAAACAAGAGAATACTGAAGGCTGTAGAAGGATATTCTTGGCCAAATTAAAGCTAAAAACTTTAACAGAAAAGCACCAAGTCCAAGATAAAAATACAACAAATAGGTTTGAAGAAGCCTGCATGCAAAGAGCTTGCAATCCTTGCTACTCAGGAAACTGAGTCAGGAGGGCTTGAGCCGAACTATGCAAGGAGATCATTTCTTTCTTTTTTCTTTTTTTTTTTTTTTGTCTTTTTCCTTTTTATCGGTACCGGGGATTGAACTCACGACTGCCCACTTTCAAGGCAGGCGCTTATGCCGCTGAGCTAAACCTCCAGCCCCCGATCATTTCAAAAACAAAAACAACAAAAAAGAAATGCCATTGAGAATATACAAATAAATGGTTTTTCTTTTTCTTTTCCACAGTGTTGGGGATCAAACCCAAGATCTCTCACATGCTAGGCAAGTGTTCCACTATTGAGTTACACTCTCGTCCTGTAAACAAATAATTTTCAAACAGAGAAATAGCCTAGTAGGAAAAAACGCTCAAGTGAAAAGATATTCAACTGGCCAATAAACATATGAAGAGATGAGCATAGCTTCACAGTAATTGGTTAAAACAAATTCTGGTGGTAATACAATGCCACTGATCTCCCAACGGGCTGGAAACACATTAATAAGCAAGTTATGCAGGGAAATCCACACTCCCACACACTGTTGGAAGGACCATGGATTGCTACAACCATTTAAGACTGCATTTATCAAGATTAAAGTTTTGTTTTATATGAATTCATCACACAGACAACTATTAGAAGAAAACAGACATTACGGTAGCTACTGTGGATCTCCTGTTGTCTTGCTTTGAAATCTGTGTCACTTACATTGTCTTCTTCTGATCGGCTT